CAAGACGTCCGGGATCTGAGACTTGCGATCAAGTGCAAGAGACTCGTCGAGGTACTCCTGGTCGATGACACCGCTGTCAGAAGCTATTGCGACAGCCCTACGGCTGATAACCAAAAAAAATCCGAAGAATCTGATGGCTCAACCACGTTCCCTTTTCCACGGGGCGATAAAAAACGTCTTGAGCCAAACAATCGGTCAAGGAAACAGTTTTGTTACCCCGACCCGCTGGATGTTTGGTGAATGGATTAATTCGTTAAAACAAGTAGACACATTACTACTATGTCAGTACGGGCAAACTGGATTCCAGGGTCAATGTCTATCAACATGACCTCATGCATTGGTTATGAATTCCAGTCTACATCGAATGCTATGGAAGCACTTGTTGGTGACACTACATTGCACTACTTACACTGCACTACGTGAGGAGGCATGTTACTCGTAATCTTTCTTCTTAAAGTATATTCATAATGAGCTATAATGTATGATATTATACAATCATAATACATTATAGTACACTAGAAAATATAGACATATAATAGCCACTCCCTCGCTAGGAGGACCCCGTTGAATTGAAATATTTCAATTTCACGTGCCCCCTCAATTTTTGCTCAATTGACGTGGCTCCACGGACCCCTAGTGTGAAACGCTCACGCACGGCATTCTTTGACCTGGCACGAGGCCAAGCTCAACTAAATATCTGGATGGCAAATGGATTGGAAAGTCTTGTGCATATGGCAAAATTGGGTCACGCATGTGTCAAACAGCATGAATCCCTAAAAATAAACATCATTTGTAACAAAAAACAACTTTTTCCAGCTCAGAATCCGAGCAGTTTGCACTGCGTTTTGCCGCATTGGCAGTTGCAGTGTTCAACCCCAAACACTCAAGCGTTGCCCATGTCATTGGGTCCAAACTTGCCATTGAAATTTAATACAGATATGAAATTGATGGGAAGCTTGTTTCAATGATTTTCTGTAGAGAGGCAGCACTTGAGGAGATTCCCTTCTAACGCGTTGGAGATTTTTTTTTTCAGACGGCCAGCTTCTGGAGGCAGCACTTCGCGCAGCTGCTGAATCACTCCCTGTTTCGAAGAAATGAAAGAACAAGCATCCAAAGTGGAACATCTTGATTTACAGACCAGCAGGAGGCATAACATGGTTTGGGTTGTGAATTTCAGAAACCACCGTTATTATGTCAGTGAGAGCGGCATGCAATTTCTTGGAAAGAACATGGAAAGGATGACCTGCTTTTCATTGAAAAATAAGAGGGGCGCCCCATGCTGTACAAAAACGGTGTTTGATGATATGAGGCACGGTCAAAATTATTGGGCCCAGCTATGCCCCAAATGCTTGGACCTAAAAATCAGTGAGGCAAACTATTCCACTTTGAGGGGTTTGCCAATAACTTCCCAAGACGAACGGCATTGGAGAGCAAACCCCATGCAAGCCCAACACGTAACCACATCTGATAGCTTTATATAAAAGCTTTTTGCATCGCTTCGCATTTGTTTTGAAATGGTTTAAAGTGTCTTTCGGAAAACCTTCTAACTTCTGCTGGAGAGGTGCAGCAAAGAGAGGTGCAGCAGGGGTCAGGAGAGGTGCAGGAGGGGTGCAGGAGAGGTCAGGAGAGGTGCAGGAGAGGTCAGGAGAGGTGCCATGCAAGCCCAACACGTAACCACATCTGATAGCTTTATATAAAAGCTTTTTGCATCGCTTCGCATTTGTTTTGAAATGGTTTGAAGTGTCTTTCGGAAAACCTTCTAACTTCTGCTGGAGAGGTGCAGCAAAGAGAGGTGCAGCAGGGGTCAGGAGAGGTGCAGGAGGGGTGCAGGAGGAGAGGTGCAGGAGAGGTCAGGAGAGGTGCCATGCAAGCCCAACACGTAACCACATCTGATAGCTTTTTATATTCATCGCTTCGCATTTGTTTTGAAATGGTTTGAAGTCTCTGTCGGAGAGCCTTCTAATCTGGAGAGGTGCAGGGAAGAGAGGTGCAGCAGGGGTCAGGAGAGGTGCAGGAGGGGTGCAGGAGAGGTCAGGAGAGGTGCAGGAGAGGTCAGGAGAGGTGCCATGCAGTCCCAACTCGTAACCACATCTGATAGCTTTGTTTTAAAAAACTTTTTGCATAGCTTCGCCTTTGTTTTGAAATGGTTTGAAGTGTCTTCCGGAGAGCCTTCTAATCTGGAGAGGTGCAGGGAAGAGCGGTGCAGCAGGGGTCAGGAGAGGTGCAGGAGGGGTGCAGGAGAGGTCAGGAGAGGTGCAGGAATTTTCATTTGTTACGAAAAAATGGCCGGAGTGAAGGTTGCCTTGTCTTGGTACAAAACTCCCACATAGATGATGCAACTGTGTGTGTGTTAAGGGAAAAAAGCTTCCAAACGGCAGCCAAAGCAATGAAAAACGCTTACATAGATTGATATAGATGATCTAGATTTTAGCTTCAAATGTTTCAAAATGGGCGATTTGAGCTTCAAGGTGATCGATTTGAGTTTCAAGATGGGCTTGAGCTTCAAATGGTTGAATTGTGCTTCTAAATGGTCAATTTGAGCTTCAAAACCGTCTCGATTTTAGCTTCAAAATGGTCGATTTTAGACCCCTGCAACCATAGATTGGCACGTCTGGGCCGTGGACCCTGTCTTGAAGCCATGGGTTTTCATGGTGGCCTTCCTAGAAAAGCCAGGTTTCGGCTGAGCGCTGCCTACCACCGGTGGTGGGCTCGGGCTTGGGCAGCGGTGCGGCCAGCCCAAATCGATGGATTTTGGTGGATTTGGAGCGGGACGCATTGCCGTCGGAGCCCGAGCGTTGCCTACCACCACTGGTGGTAGGCGGGGCTCGGGTGTTGAGAGGGGAGGAGGAGGAAGGGCCCAATCCTTCACCTTTCTTAGCTTTGCTGCCCTTTCGCGCATCGGCGCTTGAGCCCCGCCTACCACCAGTGGTGGTAGGCAACGCTCGGGCTCCGACGGCAATGCGTCCCGCTCCAAATCCACCAAAATCCATCGGTTTGGGCTGGCCGCACCGCTGCCCAAGCCCGAGCCCACCACCGGTGGTAGGCAGCGCTCAGCCGAAACCTGGCTTTTCTAGGAAGGCCACCATGAAAACCCATGGCTTCAAGACAGGGTCCACGGCCCAGACGGGCCAATCTATGGTTGCAGGGGTCTAAAATCGACAATTTTGAAGCTAAAATCGAGACGGTTTTGAAGCTCAAATTGACCATTTAGAAGCATAATTCAACCATTTGAAGCTCAAGCCCATCTTGAAACTCAAATCGATCACTTTGAAGCTCAAATCGCCCATTTTGAAACATTTGAAGCTAAAATCTAGATCATCTATATCAATCTATGTAAGCGTTTTTCATTGCTTTGGCTGCCGTTTGGAAGCTTTTTTTCCATTAACACACAGTTGCATCATCAATGTGGGAGTTTTGTAACAAGACAAGGCAACCTTCACTCCGGCCATTTTTTGTAACAAACGAAAATTCCTGCACCTCTCCTGACCTCTCCTGCGCCCCTCCTGCCTGCTGCACCTCTCTTCCCTGCACCTCTCCAGATTAGAAGGCTCTCCGAAAGACACTTCAAACCATTTCAAAACAAAGGCGAAGCTATGCAAAGCTTTTAAAATAAAGCTATCAGATGTGGTTACGTCTTGGGCTTGCATGGCACCCCTGACCTCTCCTGCACCTCTCCTGACCTCTCCTGCACCCCTCCTGCACCCCTCCTGCACCTCTCCTGACCCCTGCTGCACCTCTCTTCCCTGCACCTCTCCAGCAGAAGTTAGAATGCTTTCCGAAAGACACTTCAAACCATTTCAAAACAAATGCGAAGCGATGCAAAGCTTTTATATAAAGCTATAAGATGTGGTTACGTGTTGGGCTTGCATGGGGTTTGCTCTTCAATGCCGTTCGTCTTGGGAAGTTGTTGGCAAACCCCTCAAAGTGGAATAGTTTGCCTCACTGACTTTTAAAGGTCCAAGCATTTGGGGCATTGCTGGGCCCAATAATTTTGACCGTGCCTCATATCATCAAACACCGTTTTTGTACAGCATGGGGCGCCCCTCTTATTTTTCAATGAAAAGCGGGTCATCCTTTCCATGTTCTTTCCAAGAAATTGCATGCCGCTCTCACTGACATAATAACGGTGGTTTCTGAAATTCACAACCCAAACCATGTTATGCCTCCTGCTGGTCTGTAAATCAAGATGTTCCACTTTGGATGCTTGTTCTTTCATTTCTTCGAAACAGGGAGTGATTCAGCAGCTGCGCGATGTGCTGCCTCCAGAAGCTGGCCGTCTGAAAAAAAAAATCTCCAACGCGTTAGAAGGGAATCTCCTCAAGTGCTGCCTCGCTACAGAAAATCATTGAAACAAGCTTCCCATCAATTTCATATCTGTATTAAATTTCAATGGCAAGTTTGGACCCAATGACATGGGCAACGCTTGAGTGTTTGGGGTTGAACACTGCAACTGCCAATACGGCAAAACGCAGTGCAAACTGCTCGGGTGCTGAGCTGGAAAAAGTTGTTTTTTGTTACAAATGATGTTTATTTTTAGGGATTCATGCTGTTTGACACATGCGTGACCCAATTTTGCCATATGCACAAGACTTTCCAATCCATTTGCCATCCAGATATTTAGTTGAGCTTGGCCTCGTGCCAGGTCAAAGAATGCCATACATGCATGCATTTGTGAGCCAAACTGCCCCAGACGTGCAAGCGAAATATATTTCAGAAATTCTTTCACGTACCCCCCCTAAAATTTCAGTGGATATATATATATAGACATATATATATATATATGTCTATATATATATATTTACACACATATATATATATATATTTACAACAATTATTTACAGCTACGCGATGTGCAAATTGATGTGCAAGTCAACGAATATGAAGGAACACATCGTTCAGGGTCCAGAAATCCCACGGGGTCTGTTGAAAATGCTTCATATTTTGTGGATAAAGAAAAACCATGCAAAATCCCAAACCTCTGAAACCTCCGTACGCAAGTCCTCGTCTCGCATTATGGCACAGTCGCAGTAGAAGTGATTGGCCTCTAGCGAAGCTTCAGAGCAGCGCTGCATGTAGCTTGGGCATGTTTGGGTCAGCAAAAAATGCAAACATGTGGAGAGAACCATAGAATTGGACATGAAGTGGATTCTGCTGAATGTTGTTCCGTATATGTTGCATAATGTTGCATAATTAAGTTCTGCCCGAGGGAGAGCTCTAGCTAACCAAAGGGTGTTCAGTGGCACAGGAAATACCCAAGTCTTCCGTCATCAGGCATGTTCGGCATATTGGAGTATCAGTTTTTTTGGCGAATATTTTGAAGACCTTCACGTGGAGTGTGCGAGTGCGTTGAATCCCAAACCCGAGCACAAGTTCTGTCCCTGCGGCCCCACCCTCGAATCTTCGAAGAGTTGCCTAACCTGAGCTAAACAAGCAGCACCATGTAAACATGATGATGCCATATGACATCTTGCATTTCTCAAACAGTCCTGAAGACAGTAACATCATCTGAGTCTTTGGATCGATGCAGTGAGGTCCGCAAGACAGCAATCCTGAAATGTCTAGCAATGTCAAACACAAGTCTTCCTGCATACAGTTCGTAGCTTGCTATGGCTTGCTTTGCATGGGCAGGTAGCGTTGCATGCACACCTGATGTAGGATTGGAAACCAATGCAAACCCTACGGGTCCGCAAAAACAGTGTGCTTCATTTGGCAGTCTCTCTGAGATCGAAACAAAGCTTCCGACATTGTGGCTCACGCAAAGGTGAGCAATAAATTCCAAGTCGTACTTAAAAGCGCCTTTGCGGGGAAACTTTGCAGAGTTCAATCCCACTGAATCTCATTGCACAATAAGGAATGATGAGGAATGATGATGCAACATGGATACACGGCCTGCACAAACGTTCATTCTGTTCATTTTCCAAGGTTTCCAAGGATGCAGCTGCCTACAAATTCTGGCACCACGAGCAGGAAGAGAAAATCTTCTGTCAACTTCGCGCCGTGAAATCGTCGGCATCCAGCGAGAAGGCAACTGGCAAGCTGAAATAAGCTGAAGCTGAAGCTAAGTTTGGGTGCCAAGACGTGCCAAGATGTTCCAAGTACATGGACAAGCATGGCGTAACGATGGCAAATCTATGCAAATCTGAACGGAGGGGTCAAACATGGGGCTACCTTCCTCTTCTGGATATCTTGGCTTTGTCCCGACATGTCTCACAGCAAGTACCAAACTGGATCAAACTGCAGGGTGGAAGCCATGCCCACAGGCAAACCGGCAGGATCTGGCAGGTGTGTCGCTTGGAATCCACTTGGCCAAAGGGGCCAAGAAACTTCACATAGCTTCACATAGCTTCACAGGTAAAGCTTCTGCACAGATTCACAAAGGTTTGAATGAAATTACTTTGTTCCTCCTGTAGCATGCTCAGATAACTTAAAAACAGAACGCCACTTGAGTTGTGTTTTTTTTCCTTGCTAAACTGCAATACACAAATTAGGACACCTACGCGGGGCCTACGCAAACCACTCCTCCCAAGCAAAACTGCCTACGCGAGGGTTACCTTTCAAGAAGTGCCTACGCGGTTGCCTCCGCGAAAGTTGCTGCAACGATCTCTTTACTTGATGTGATGTGATCACAATTCTGGTTCAGAAGAGGAATAGAAAGAATTGGAAGATGACGATTCTTTGGGTGACTTGTGAAAGGAAGGCGGAAGCCTCATCAAGAGTGGAGCACTGTGTCATGATGTGATCGGCAGTCATGATGAACTCATGGAAACATTAGAAAAGTGAAACGGTAAGACTTTGATGGGCTACGTGCCAACAATTTGACCTAGGGCCTCCGCGTTTCCTACGCGAGGGCCTACGCGGAGCCTACGCGAAAATCCGAACCGAAAATGGCTGTTCGAAAACTTGGCACTTGAAATTTTCTGAAAAAGCGATTGTTTCCTTAATCTCCCCTGTCTTCCAGCTAAACATATGAACCATACAATCCAGTTTGCATTTGAAATCATTGTAAGCCACCACGAAAAACAAGAGTTCGAGGTCAGAAACAAACAATCTAGAACATCTAAACAAGTGCCTACGCGAGACTGCCTACGCAGCCTCTCCTACATTATCCTACGTATATGCCTACGCGAAACCTACGCACCAAGCAGAATAGCCTACGCATGAATGATGTGAGTTCCTCCTCAATCTAAATTCCATCATCTGTCTGGAAAAAAAACGTGGCTCACTTGAACTTTGGAATGAAGCTACAGACATACCCAGTGACGATCGTATTACAATCAGCTCACGTGAGAAAGTAGGGAACAACCTGCAACCACCACACCGGAACTTTCACAACCACTCGGGAACTACCCCGAAACCCGGACCCAACCCTAGAACTTGCACCGGAAGCTCCCGGAACCTCCCGGAACCCTGCGAAGCTGCACCGATCCTTTACAGTATCTGGGCTAAGAGCCCTAAGCTAAGCCTTTTGGGGAAAAAGTGAATGGCGGTTCCAAAGAATTCCAAAAACTGTTCAAACAAGCTAAAACCTGATGAAATGGACGATTGCTTCGCATGAACACAACCCCCCACCCGTTGCGGCCACCACTGCCTTCGGATAAGTCGAAATAGCTGTCCGCAAAGACTGTGAGAGCAGTTCACACAACTGAGCGCTGAGAAAAGCGAACATATTGACAGATTTACAGCAAGAAGTGCAGCTAAGATACAAAACAAGACTTTCTTCCCAAAAGTAGAGTGGAGTGCAGAGGTAATACAGAGCAAACTATATTGTAGTATATTATACTAAAATCCTGCAGTGAAATATTCATGTTGGATGAAGACTGCAGTAGCGTTTTGATATTGAAATTTCCAAGTCAACGAATTCGGGTGTTTGCAACATTAAAACATCTACAGTCTTTGACATCCTTGTAACTAACATTGGCTGTTGAATATTTAAAAAAGGGCAAGCAACGAACGCATTGAAAGCATCAAACCAAACTGCTTTGAACATCTTTTGGCCAATATCACACACACACATATCACAAATATGTATATATATATATTGTATGTATACAGTTATACAGTATATATAAATAACATAATCCTAATTTTCCATACATTTGCACTCCCAAGCTTGATCCTGTCCCTTCTGCCCTTCCGCCTGTTGCTGACTGTGGCTGTCAAAATCACCGTTCGAACTGCTTTTTGCAGCTGCCTGGTGCATGTGGGCCATTGAAATTGCTGATGCATGCTGATGCACAAAGGCTAGAACGCGCTGTCTTTAAAACATGTCAAAACCAATATCTTCAAACCGGATGGAACTGTTCTGCCAATTCCCTCCATACTGCTGCATTTCTTGATGCGCTTTATGCACTTAGTTCCATCCGCTCGTCAAATTCATGAGGGCCGCTTCGCGTCACAGCAGTGGGATGGAAGTGGCTAGAGTCTTGTTCACTATCGCTGTAGAAGTATACGTTCTTCTATCGGCATCTGTATCAAGTGCTTGTTATCAGGAGAAGCAAGCGATCCTATATATAATCTGTAGAGCGTGTACGTTCAGATCGAAAGTGTGACTTTGCTACTGTAGGAGTGGATTGATCAAGTTTCGGGTAATCACTTTGAGTTTCTCCCACACAAGAAATATGGGAGAAATAGTGACATCGAGTTTCTTTCTGCATGTGCCCCTGCTTCGCCCGTGTAGTCCTATTTCCTGATAGGCGCAGTACAGCGAGACTTTATTGTATCATATTATACCAGTAGTACCGCACAAGGCGGTGGCGGAAGTTTCAAAAATAGGAAACCTATAGGAGAGATTGGTTGTTGTGATTCACGGATGGCAGAGCGAATCCACTGGTGGACCGACAGGTGGTTGGAGTTGTTTTTTTTGCAGTGGCTGCAATGGTTGCAGTGGTCACATCACCACAACTGCTGGATGTAGTGTGGTGTAGCGCAGTTGTAGTTGTAGTTGTAGGTGTAGTTGTAGTTGTAGTTGTAGTGTAGTGGAGTTGTAGTTGTACGTTGTAGTTGTAATGTCGTGTAATTAGTGTAGCGTAGTTGCAGTTGCAGTTGTAGTTGTGGTGTGGTGTAATTAGTGTAGTGTATTGTAGTGTACTGTAGTGTTGCGTACTGTAGCGTGGTAAAGTGTAGTGTAGTCTAGTGTATTGTAATGTAGTGTAGTTGTAGTTGTAGTGTAGCGTCGTGTAGTGCAATGTAGTGGTAGTTGCAGTTGTAGTGTAATGTAATGTAATTAGCGTAGTGTGGTGCGGTGTGGTGTGGTTGTAGTTGTAGTTGTATTTGTAGCTGTAATGTACTGCAGTTTAATTAGTGTATTGTAGTGTAATGTAGCGTAGCTGTAATTGTAATTGTAGTTGTAGCTGTGGTGGTGGTGGTGGTCGTCGTCGTCGTAGTAGTTGTTGTTGTAGTGAAATTAGTGTAGTGTAGTGTAATTAGTGTTGTGTAATGTAGCGTAGTATATTTGTACTTGTAGTTGTAGTCATAGTGTAGCATAGTGGTACTTGTAGTTGTAGTTATCGATCGATCGATCGATCTATCTGTCTATCTGCAAGCTTGAAAACGAAGCTTGAATTTGACAACGTCAAAAACGAAACAATTCTGCGAGACTTCCTTCAAAAATGGAAAGTTGAGTGCAGAGCTGACGGCCTCGTACCAATGGGTTTGGCGATTTTTCCACTCCGCCTGTCTAAAGTACTGCGCCTGCCACGAAAAAGTGATGCCAGGTCATACGAAGTGCTGCGCCTGTCACGCAAAATCATGTTCCCAAAACTGAAGATCTTATGCTCCAAAATGCAAAGTCCGGCTAGCTCTTTGTTGGGCTCCTGCACCGATTCGACACAGTTCGGCTTCCCACGTCGCAATGCTTTCCTTGTGCTGTGGCGCAAAGCTTTCAGAATAACGCTCCAATAAAAGCAACATGAAAACGGCCATGGGATCGCTTTTCACCTCTCTGCTGCGTAACACACCCTGTAAGGTTTCGGCTTGAAGCTGCTGATTCAGCCTTTTGCAATAAAAATGATGACTGCGGTCAAAGCAACGCTCCATGCGGGGCAGAAAAGCCACCGCATCCAATCTCGACATATCACAAAGAACAAATTCCCAGTCGTCCAATAGCTCTCGCTTCTCTACCGCCAATGTAGGCACCTGGCGGTACCAAAAGTTTCTTGTTGCGTTCCACTCCTTGACCTGCTTGGCACGACTGCAGTGGTTCCAAAGTTGGTTTCTGCAACTGCACGAGCTCTTCGCAATAAGTTGCTAGAAATGCAACGGTTTTCCTGACAGTGTCCACCATGGCGCAGCTCCTGCAGCTAGTGGTGGCGGACAGAAAAGTCACACCACTGCTATCCGAGGAGCAAAATGACTACGGGTGGAGGACAGAAACGCCACACCACTGCTAGCTGACTAAGAAAATTGACCACAGAATGAATATGGTTTGGTTGATATAATGTTTGATTGTCGCTTCAATACGAATACCATATGATTCCTTGAAGACTCTAACATTGGCAAAAGAAATAGATAAGTTAATGGTGAAGCTCTTTCGAAACTAAACATCCACATTTGTTGAGTTGGCTTCTACATAAACATCTGTTCCCTTGCATGTTCGATTTTTTTGTCTGTGATGTTACCACAACCCATGAGCCAAGAAATGCATCCGAATCAACTTTTGCGAAGCCCAACAGACAACCAACATCAACACCCTTGATCTCTTAATAGCAGACACGTCAAAAGCAACTTCCCCAAACCAAATACATCCAAATACAACGTCATCGGGATCGCCATTACCAAACACTAACCAATTTCAAATGCATCCGAATCAACTTTTGCCATCTGCTGATCTACATCTTCACACCCTCACTGCAGATCTACATCTTCACACCCTCACTGCAGATCTACATCTTCACACCCTCACACCTGCAGATCTACATCTTCACACCCTCACACCTGCTGATCTACATCTTCACACCTTCACACCTGCAGATCTACATCTTCACACCCTCACATCTGCAGATCTAGATCTTCACACCCGCACATCTGCTGATCTACATCTTCACACCTTCGCATCTGCAGATCTCCTCTCGCTCTTCTTTCTATCTCTCTCTTAAGGCGGGGCGGTGCCGCCGGAGCGCCACGAAACGCTACCCTTTCGCACGAAATGGACGTTGGACGTCAAAAACTGAGTTAAAATTGCGATTTTAGTTAGTCCATCGCAACCCTTTCGCACGAAATGGACGTTGGACGTCAAAAACTGAAGTAAAATTCCGATTTTGAGGTGTCACGGGCAACCCTTACACGCGAAATGAAGGTTCGACGTCAAAAACTGAGGTAAAATTGCGATTTTACTTGGCCCATCGCAACCCTTCCGCACGAAATGGACGTTGAACATCAAAAACTGAAGTAAAATTGCGATTTCACGGGTCCGGTCTCTGTGTGTGAAAGTGTTTGTGTGTAAAAGCTTCTGTGTGTAAAAGTTTCTGTGTGTAAAAGCTTCTGTGTGCAAAAGTTTCTGTGTGTAAAAGCTTCTGTGTGTAAAAGGGTCTGTATGTAAAAGCGTCTGTGTGTAAAAGCGTCTGTGTGTAAAGGAGTCTGTGTGTAAAAGCGTCTGTGTGTAAAGGAGTCTGTGTGGAAAAGCTTCTGTGTGTAAAAGCTTCTGTGTGTAAAAGGGTCTGTGTGTAAAGCGTCTGTGTGTAAAGGAGTCTGTGTGTACAAGCCTCTGTGTGTAAAAGCTTCTGTGTGTAAAAGCGTCTGTGTTTAAAAGCTTCTGTGTGTAAAAGTGTCTGTGTGTAAAATGGTCTGTGTGTAAAAGTGTCTGTGTGTAAAAGCGTCTGTGTGTAAAAGCGTCTGTGTGTAAAAGTGTCTGTGTGTAAAAGCGTCTGTGTGTTAAGGAGTCTGTGTGTAAAAGCGTCTGTGTGTAAAAGCGTCTGTGCGCAAAAGCGTCTGTGTGTAAAGTCTGCGATTGAGACATGCAATGGTTGGATCATTGAAAATTGATTTCTGTTTTCTGTTGAGGTGGTATGTGACTGCGAGGATTGATTTGTCTTTAGTTGGATTACACAGTCCCGTGGGATTCAAGTATGGTGCTTTTGCAACCACGTTGTCTGTGCGAGCGGTCTTCAACTGGGTGTTGAAGCGAATCGGTTGGTCGGAGCCTCAAGTGGATACAGATATGCATTTAAAGCAATGCTGTCGACATCTTGCTTTTGTGGAGATGGTCCTGCATGCATTTTTTGGAGATTGTGTTTTGTGATTGTTCCATGTTCGGTTTCTGTGGACATGGTGTTGCATTCATTCTTTTCGTGGCGAACCTGCAGAATCAGTAGCCAACTGCTGTCTGTCTGTACAGTTGAAAAGTGTTGATCTACATGTTTTTGTGTGATCTAACTCGATGACAGACGATCTCATCTTGGTACGGGTGAGCAACTATATGCATGATCGTGCAATCTGAAATTTCCGAGGTGGCTCTTGCGCCAGTTTGGTACCGGCCTGGGTTTTTGATGGATGTTTTTTGGTCTTGGAGTAAATCAAATTACTGGAATGTGTCCAGCGCTGTGCTATGCACTAAGGTTGGCACTTCTGAGCCACGACGGCTCACTGCGATTTCAAGGCATCATTTCGTGTTGGTATGTGTTGTAAAAGCGTCGGCCTGTAAAAGTGCCTGTGTGTAACGGGTTTTGTCTGTAAGAGCGTCTGTGTGTACAAGAGTCTGTGAGTAAAAGCTTCTGTATGGAAAAGCGTCTTGGTGTAAAAGCTTCTGCGTGTAAATGTGTCTGTGTGTAAAAGGGTCTGTGTGTAAAAACGTCTGTGTGTAAAAGTGTCTGTGTGTAAAGGCTCCTGTGTGTAAAAGTGTCCGTGTGCAAAGGCGTCTGTGTATAAAAGTTTCTGTGCGTGTAAAAGCGTCTGTGTGTAAAAGTGTCTGTGTGTAAAAGCTGCTGTGTGTAAAAGCGTCTGTGTGTAAAAGCTTCTGTGTGTAAAAGCGTCTCTGTATAAAAGCGTCGCGTTTCTTCACATCCACGGAATGATGGTGCCGAGCTTTTTCGGCAATGTGTGTAGGAATTACCATAGTAAAATGAGATAACACATGTCATTCGCAGCATCATGGTACCGAGCCTCCTGTGCACTTTTGTTGCTCACATTATATTTCTCCATGTTTTCTTTCTATCCCCCTTTCCTTCTCTCTCTCCCTCTCTCCCTCCCTCTTTCTCCCTATCTATGTCTCTCTGTGGTTGCAAGACACGTGTCATCTGATGCTCTTTACCAAGTATCCTCTTCTTAATCAATCTTACTTTTCACACCTTATCCCTCCATAGCTCATATAAAATTCACCAACCATTCACCGACTATCTTTTACGACTACCATCCTCAGAGCTGCTTGAAAAAGATCTTTGTCGCTCTCGGGCCAACCGTCGTCTAGTTTATCCTAAATGGTTTTTCCTGGATTAACAACATCAAACATTCAAAGCCCGCATCTGCTACCCGTCCGCATCCGCTACCGGTCAGAAGGACAAGCTGCTTGGCGGAGCCCACCTGAAGGCTAAACTGCGTAAAATGAACCGGTCAGAAAAGAGCAAGTCGGCTGCATTGAAGCTGCTGGAAAATGAACCGGTCAGAAAAGACACAGTCGGCTGCTTTCACCTACGATCCGGATGATCAAGCCCGCGTGTCACGTCGCCACGGAAATCTTCGAGGTGCTTGCGTCTGACAGCAAAAACTTTAGGCGGTCACAAAAAAACCACCTGGAAGCTAAGCTGCTGGAAACTGAACCGGTCAGACAAGACACAGTTGCCTGCCTTTAAACTGCTGGAAAAAAACCGTTCAGAAAAGACACCGTCGGCTGCTTTCAATTGGTCCGGATGATGAAACCCGCGCGCCACGGAAATCTTGGAGGTGCTTGCGTCTGGCAGCAAAAACTTTAGGCGGTCACAAAAAAACCACCTGGAAGCTAAGCTGCTGGAAACTGAACCGGTCAGACAAGACACAGTTGCCTGCTTTTAAACTGCTGGAAAAAAAAACCGTTCAGAAAAGACACCGTCGGCTGCTTTCAATTGGTCCGGATGATGAAACCCGCGTGCCACGTCGCCACGGAAATCTTGGAGGTGCTTGCGTCTGGCATCAAAAGACTTCTGGCGGTCACAAAAAAACCACCTGGAGGCTAAGCTGCTGGAAACTGAACCGGTCAGACAAGACACAGCTGCCTGCTTTTAAACTGCTGAAAAATGAACCGGTCAGACAAGACACAGCCGGCTGCTTTCAGTTGGTCCGGATGATCAAACCCGCGTGCCACGTCGCCACGGAAATCTTGGAAGTGCTTGCGTCTGGCGGCAAAAACTTCTGGCGGTCACAAAAAACCCAAAAGATAAAGCATTTGCAGGCAAATGGTGGTGCAAGTTTACATTCAAACTTGCGAGGGGGGTTGAAAGTTTGCCTGTAAACTTGCGAGGGAGGTTGAAAGTTTGCATTAAAACTTGCGAGGCGGGGTTGAAAGTTTGCATGCAAACTTTCGTTGAAAGTTAGGCAAAAAATTAGTTAAGGCAAGAAAAATTAACTAATTTAGGTAAGGAAAAAATAAACTAAAAGGCTTTTTTGTCTGAGATAAGGAATTACCTTTTTGGCAGGAAATTGCCTAACCGGATCTATTGGAAACCACCTGGAGGCTAAGCTGCTAATACCATCAAAAACGGAGCCATCTGTTTATCTATCTCTCTCTCTGTCTGTCTGTCTGTCTGTCTACCTATCTACCTATCTACCTATCTACCTTCTACCTATCTATCGATCGATCGATCTATGGATCTATCAATCTATCGGTCTATAAATCTATCCATCTACCGATCTATCGATCTATCTATCTATCTCTCAATCTCTCTGTCTGTCTGTCTGTCTATCTATCTGCAAGCTTGAAAACGAAGCGATTCTGCGAGACTTCCTCAGGTTTTAAACTTGACAACATCAAAAACACAGCAATTCAGCGACACTTCCTCAGTTTTTGCACTTGACAACATCAAAAACGAAGCAATTCTGCGAGAATTCCTCATTTTTTAACTTGACAACATCAAACACGAAGCAATTCTGCGAGACATCCCTCAAAAATGGAAAGTTGAGTGCAGAGCTGACGGCCTCGTACCAATGGGTTTTGCGATTTCTCCACTCCACCTGTCTAAAGTACTGCACCTGTCACGCAAAATCATGTTCCCAAAACTAAAGATCTAATGCTCCAAAATGCAACCCGTCTCAGGAAATCAGCGCCCGGACCTCCTAACCACGCGAAACGACATCTGAACGTCCGAAGCCCTGATGTTTTTCACATATTAACTTCGAAATTTGTTTCGCGCCACAACGGCGTGCACTTTTTCGACATCTCAACTTCCAAAAGTGGTCCGAACCCTGGTGTTTTTAACATTTTGAATTCGAAATGTGCTTCGCGCCACAACGGCGTGCACTTTTTCATCTCTCATCTGGCCAGCTGGCTCCGCACCCGCCGCTTTAGCGAGCCTACTTTTCGACCCTCCGGAGCCACAAATCATTGGAAAAACACAGTGTTTCGCGACTTTCCTACCTTTTCGCGCACCTGCATCTTCTTTCTTCTGACTCTTTCTCTTCTCTGATCTTCTCTCTTCTTCTCTTCTCTTCTCTTCTCTATTTTTGCTCCACCTCTGCTTTTCATCTGTCCATATTGTCAGAAGTTTGACTTCTAAAACTTCCTTTGACTAATATACACTAATATATTACATTATGTCTTATTATGTTACATACATAAATTTTGAAGGACTTGATCCTACCGCCCATGAGATCTTTACTCACTCCCACACCCCGGGACTGCAACAAACATCTCAAACACATTTCTAAAGGTTCCAACTGTCCCAACAAAGATCTTATGAAATTCTTGGAGTCAAAGGACAGCAATGCATCAAACAAATGTCACTTATACTGTATATACTTCTTTGGACCGTATCAACCACCTTCACCCACTTATCCTTGATATTACGACATGTTACAGCATATTACAACGTCATTTAGGTCTCATCAACTGTCTCAGTGCTCTTGTAGAGTTCGGCCTAGATGACGTATTGCATCTCCTTGAACTGAAGTAACTTGGTCTGCTACGATCTCTTCATCTCCACGATGTCATGCTTTGAGTCCGGGCACATGTCCCACAAAATATGATGCAATCAATAGGTCAATAGGATTGCCTTTGTCTCTGTCAGTGCAAACAAAAACATCGCACATCATTGGATCCACAATTGAATTTTTGTTTCTGAAAACCGGCTGGATCTGCAAACATCAAATGTACACATTTCCACCCACAAGGCTTTTTAATAGCCAGTTGGACCTGCAGAATAGATGTCGTGAACACAGCATGTACAAACATACACTGGACTGGAAGTCTGAAATTCTGCAATCAAATATGCAGAACTCAACACCTCACTTAATGAGTGTGGACAAGGAATATGTGGTTCTCTTCAAAACCCAGGAATCCAAAACCTAGCAATCGACGGGAAAGAGGCAAACAAAGGTTCAAGTGGTCAAAGAAAACACGTATGTAATGGAATATAGCCAGCTACTGCTTACGCCATAGATTCACCATGATTCATGCAAGAATGAGAATCAGGCTGCTCTTGGACCCTGGCCGCAGCAAATCAAACTGCGCTGATCGCAGCACTTCTTCCGGGGACACCTGGCGCAAAAATAACATCTGTAAAATAGATCAAAATAGCCTAAATATATCTAAATATGTCTAACTTCATCCAATTCTAAATCAACATGATTAAAACCTCAGTTTGTTCTTTTCTCAGTCTTCTCTCATGTGCGAGTGGGATATTCAATAAGAATCTTTAAACTTGTGATTTCACATTTCAACCACACATTCTAGTCTAAGTGTGTGGCCTCCTGAGTGTGTCCACATTATTATATATATATATATAACACACGGGTTTCAAAATGTAACCTGGGTGTTCCAATTTTATAGGGGGCCCAGGCCTATCCTTTGAACATGCCCTTTTGGGACCCTCTACAAAATTAAAATCTTGACAGACACATACATCATCAGCCCTATAAAATCACAACCTGCTAGTAACCCATCAATGTCATCAGACCCAAAAACACTACAAAATTGCAGTGCCCAGGTTAACATCTTCCATCTTTCAACTTCTTTCAGATTCTGATTTAACATCTTCCATCTTTCAACATCTTTCAACATCTTTCAACGTCGCAGGCTTGTGCCTTCTCACTTGGCATGCCTCAGGTCCTGCGAGGGCATCGTTCTGCTGTACTTCACAGATTTGGATTGGATCGAGTTGCTGAAAAAATGGAACAAACACGACGAACATTTGCAAACATCCACTTTTCAATTTCAACATGCACCAAACGACCACCTAATATAGTCCAAATGATATACAGGATTTCATTCAGTCTGACTGCATCAGAAGGAACTCTGAGATCTCAAGAGTCTGAATACTTTGGGAGCCTCACTCGCGCCTTCAAAGCTCCATCTGTACATATCAAATATATCAATACAATTCAATACATATCACATATCTATACATATCTGTCCTCCATCTGTAGCGCCCCATCGTGGCAGCTTTGGACTTTTGTCGCATTTCAGTGCAACATAACATTCTTCGATATTCTTCGTATTTGTTCAGATCTCCACACGGGGCACCAGTCATTTGAAGGATCAAATAAAACACAAAACGTCGGAATATGTCGGAATTAAGTTGAAGTAACATGATGTAACATGAAGTAACCTTTAACAAACCCTTGGAATCCTCTGCTGACTTCCTGTATGCATCTGGCATCATCTGGCTGTATGTGAAACTTGTCATGGCTTCGACTTGAGCGATACGGACAAAATGTGCTGCTTCATGCCGAGGACAATGAGGACATGCGAGAATCAGTCTTAGAGTTAGTCCCTGATTGCCTGAGTCCAAGTTCTGATTGCATTTCGCTATGCTCGACCAAAGATGCAGAAAACGACAAACAGGTGCGGTGAATTACACGCAAGGGCATCATTTCTCAGTATGATCTCTCGGATGTGGTCAACGTTTCAGGTAAACCAAAGAAACCAGCATTTGAAATCTCCGGTGCTTTGCTGAGTTTGTCCAATTTTGATCTGCAAGCAATTTCCTGACTACAAGTACCATTTCATGCACATCCGCCCTCTGTGCAGTTTGCATCTCTGTATATCTCTTTGTATCTCTATCTCTCTACATAATCTGTAGTATATAATAGTATATACAGTATTATACAGTAATAGTGTGTAATATTGTGTAATAGTATATTGTCATATAACATCATCTTTGACATTTCATCACTTTTGTTGCTCTTTAAGTTGAACCGACCTACTCCTAGCCTGGCTTGGTTCCCAACTTGCCTCATCCCTATAGACGAAGAGTGAGGTGCCTTTGAGTACACACCACCTGGAGCGCTATGCGCTAGTGAATGAGAAAATATGAGAAATCAAACAGAATCCAGTACGAGGTAAGAGATGGCAAGAGGATGTAAGAGGCATGTGCTCTATTGTTTTTTTCACTTGTTTCATCATTTTTCATAATTTTCCTATATTTTTCTTGTTTTTTCATGCTTTTTCTGTTTAGGTTCAAAGTCCCGTCACAGTGTTTGATCCTGTCGAAAAACGGAATGATCTCCAGCAGGTATAAAAAGCGATACAAAAGGGATGATATGATATTCTGTTCATTTCTGTTCTACTCTTTCTAATGCACACCATGCCTTGGACATCCTTGGACCATCTCAAAATCAGTTCGATCGAAGAACCACTAGCATGGGGTATCATCGTTGATCAAGTGAATGCTCCCATACAGTAGTGGTGACTGGATGTGACTGCCCAAGCGACGCACAATATGCAAGTCTGAAGTGGGTTCTTTTAGACTCCATTTCCCATCATGATTGTCCCCCTATCGTTCTCTAGAACAAATCGTGAGAGAGCATGAGAGAGCAGGGTTAGCAGTCCTTTCACAGTTTGACTTTGCTGAGCTTAGCATCAGTTCCTTTTCTTGTGCTACTATGCCCAGGCCTCTTAAGTTTTAGTGCATAAACTTCCCGGCGGGTGGGAAACCGCGCTAGCGGTTAAGCGCTTTTGAAAAGAAACTCTTCTGGCGCTGTGGCGCCGTACGCATTTTATGATGAACATTACCTTAAATTTTGCCGGTCAAAACTGAATGACTTTGAAGGAATGTCGTTGTATTTACAGGGTTTTGTGGTTGTGGCGGGGTGGAAGTCTTTTCCTTGTTCTTCGCTGGCTTGTCACTTCTCCAAGCGTTTGCTTAGAGCGCGGCCTGTGAGACTGAGGAAGTCAGTGGAATTTCCATGGTGCCATCGCCATTGCCAAATCATTATTCCTCGAAGCAATTGAGGGTTCACAGCACCATCTTTACGTGTGCTCCAAGAGGATGACGCTGCACCTTTGGAAATTTTCCACATTCCATCGATGCCACCGGTGTGCACTAGCAAGTTTCCCCATTTCTTTCTCTTGGTGATGCAGAAGATGCCCTTACTGTGATTGCAAGCTTCATGAAGCAGATTGTGTACGCATGGTACATGAACGTTAATATCCCACCCCACCCCACCCAACCCCTGACCAGTGACGTAGCAGCAGCGTAGCATCCACGTATGTACGCATGGCACATGAACGTTAATATCCCACCCCACCCCACCCAACCCCTGACCAGTGACGTGGCAGCAGCGTAGCATCCACGTCTGTACGCATGGTACATGAACGTTAATATCCCACCTCACCCCACGCAACCCCTGAACAGTGACGTAGCAGCAGCGTAGCATCCACGTCTGTACGCATGGTACATGAACGTTAATTCTCACCCCACCCCACCCAACCCCCATATTCAAAAAGTAGCGCGACTACACGCGCGGTTTTCCACCCGCTAGCATAAACTTGGAGGCTTGGAGGCCGCAAAAACTGACGGCCGCTTATATAACTTGAAACAAACAATGTATGACAATGTCGAGTTGATGAGTTGTGATGCGGGCAAATGGCAACTGTGTTGAAGGCACCTCCATCTCCAAAGAAATCCCCAAAATCTCTGCTGCAAAGGGCCAGCAATCACGACCTGTACGGATGGAGTTGTGCACTTCAACTACTGCACGTAGATGCCTAGAGACATGTTTAGACATGTTTCGACATGTCCCCTGGTCAGACCAGAACATATAGTATGTTACAGTATGCGAGTATGTGGTGGATTGATGCATGATTGATGCAGTGTTGCAAATTGTTGCAGTATGTCTTCATAGCTCTCGGATGTCCGGCAAAACCAAGGCCAAAATATGAAGGTCAGTGCTTGGAGGAGTTGCAATTTTGTGAAAACGAAAAAGAAATCGCAGAGTCAGTAGCAAGTGTTGTATGTAAGTAGCAGTCTCTTGTAGCGTATTTTCCTTCACAATATGAGTCACTAGTTGCAGTCTGAATTTCGAAGCCACAGCGCTATCATTGTGTTATATTGTGTTGGATGTCTCGATCTCGACTCGCCTCATGGTCTTTGATTTCACGATCCAACACAACGTTCTGGAGCATCAACTGATTCCAGGACACACAGCTGCCACACAGCAGTGGATGCAACCAGGGTGATATTAGGCGTCTTGATCGTCGTATGATTATCAATGAAATGCTCAAAGTAAGAATGCAAGTTTTTTCTATTCTGATTCTTTTTGGATACTCTACCAATGCTGTGGATTCAACCAGTCTATTGAAATATGAGCAGTAGCACAAGCAATGTGCACAAGATTACTCACACACACATACACGAAACGAGAACACTCATGAAGAAGTAAAAACAATCAGAAAATAATCTGCATCATCTACCTCTGCCAAAAGTAAACCAGTCACGAGATTAGGTGGTTCGTCATTACAGCTGTCTTTCACGTCGCTTGTGGTGCGTTCTCTGCTTTGCCTCTATACTGCCTTTATGGTGTACTGGGAGAATGAAAAAACCATCTATCATCTAAATCATTCCAAATCCATCTAACAGGTGCTAAAGTTAGAGCCTGAGACATTTCGACATTTAAATCATGTGAATTCATGTGAATCATATCAATACCCATCAAGATCATCAAGGGTCTTTGTGCTTGGCCAAACCCTCTGCGGTCTGGTCACCTGCTGGGTCAATTCCACATACCTGGCGTGGGATTTTAGAAGCACCGGCACTGGCGCACAATGCTTGAGACGGCGCTTGCCCAGGGAAGAATCCCCTCTACATCTTCTACATCTACAAAGGATCCGCGAAAAGCAAGTAACCCATAGTAACCCCACAAATACAGCTGCAAAGTAACATAAAGTAACTATATAATCTTACTAGTGCAGCGGAATGCTGCGTTCCATTGCTTTCTATTGCGAACAACATGCATTCTATGGGGGCATGGTGTAGATGGGGAAGAGCCTGATCCCAAGTTGTTGAGATGTTGCGATAGCACAATCCAAAAAAATGATGACTGTGGAAATCGGCACCATGAGATGCCCCAAAGTTCTACAAATGACTGGAACAAATCACAATGCAGAAAGTGCAGGACATGCTGGAGCATTGACATGTACTGACAGTAGAGTAGTAGAAAACATAGAAAAACCAATAAACCAGCGCAGAAAACAGTTCAAAGCATTGGATCGACCAATGTTTTGAGCAACATGCAGTGGTGAATCGCATAATACCGTTGCAAAAACGGAAGCGACACTCCTGGAAGGAATCTGAAACCGATGTCGCGGTGCCCACTTGGAAATGTCTGAAAAATGGCACTTAATGACGTGAATGTGCAAGTAATTATTAAAACATATTAAAAGATACCAGTATGCAAAGACAAAATCAGGGTCTGATGGACTTGAGGGGGGTGTATACTGTATACACTGTATACATTGTATACTGTATGCTGGTCTTGGCTTCATGTTGTTGATTCGTCCCATTTCGTCCCTAACCCTAATCTGAGGTGTCATACAGCTCCGAACATAAAGACATTCACAGGAAACAAAGTGAAGTTCAAAAGAAAGAAAAACCACAGGGCAGCGTAAGAGAGCAGAAGACAACATAGAACAGAATGAGATGTGATCAAATAGCATAAGGCAGCTTGAGGCAGCACAAAGTAGCACAAGGCCGACACAAAACAGCATGAGACATTGTAAAACTGCAAAGGACAGGACAAGACAGCATCAAACGGCATAAGACAGCAAAAACAGGTTTGGGAAAGAACATATAATAGGGCATGAGGCAGCATGAGACAGCATGAGGCAGCACAAGAGACCATCAGACGGCAAGTTGTGGCACACAGCAGCCAAAGGCGGTGTGATAGCACATGAAATGGCATAAAATGGCATGAGACAGCGTTCAGCAGCAGGAGCCAGCACCAAACGGCCACACCTCCGTCTTCGAAAATTTCCAGGAGACGGTCCTTGGACTAACCAGACTCCAGGCACGGAGCAAGCTCATGATCCTCATGAAAGAGTTTCAAAGGAAGTGATTCTGATGTTCTGCATTTGCATGGCTTAAACTCACATCTTTTGAGTGTGTTCATGAATGGTTTCGTGCCGAAACTTGGTGCAACCATGTCAAACTGCAAAGAATGGTTGTGCCTCT